GACTGTCGCAATAGAGAATATAATTTTCTTGGTTCTGACCCAACTCTTGTAGGAACTTCTTCATCCACAGGATCTCCTTGCAACCTTCAGTGATTGCGATGTACTCTGCTTCTGTGGTGCTTAAGGCAATACACTTTTGTAATCGTGATTGCCATGAGACAGCTCCCCCTGCAAATGTTATTAGGTACCCGGATATAGACTTTCTCGTATCCATGTCGCCAGCCTTATCTGAATCTGTATATCCTTCTAATACAGGTTCATTATTACCAAAACATAAACAATGACTGGAAGTACCTTTGAGATACCTGAATATCCATTTGACGCCAGTGGAGAACTGACAGGTTTAGCTTTGCTCATGTTGAACTTTTCAAGAACTTTTCCAACATATCGTTCTTGAGATAGCCAGATTCTTCGATTCTGCCTGTTGCGAGTAATCGTCATGCCAAGAATTTGCTTTGCAGGTCCTAAGTCCTTCATTGCAAATGACTTGCTCAACTCTTTCTTCAACTTGTTAATTTTGCCAAAGTCTTGACCTACAATTAACATGTCATCAACATAAAACAAAAGAATGATAAAATCACCATCAGAGAATTTCTTAATGAAGACGCAGTGGTCAGCCGTCGTTCGGTTGTACTCATTTTTCTCCATGAATGAGTCGAACTTTTTGTACCACTGCCTGGGTGCCTGTTTCAGACCGTACAAGCTCTTCTTCAGTTTGCATACCATCTTCTCCTTCCCTTTGACTTGGAAACCTTCAGGCTGCTCCATATAAATTTCCTCGTCAAGATCACCATGTAAGAACGCCGTTTTTACATCAAGTTGTTCAACTTCTAGATTCAGACTAGCTGCCAAGCCAAGAACAACTCGGATTGAAGACATTTTGACCACCGGTGAAAATATTTCATCAAAGTCAACGCCCTTCTTCTGCTCGAATCCTTTCACAACCAGTCTTGCTTTGTAACGTGGTTGTGAGCTGCCTTCTTCACTTTTGATCCTGTACACCCACTTGTTCTTGAGAGCTTTCCTTCCCTGTGGTAATTTCACCAAGTCAAATGTGTGATTCTCATGTAGAGATTTTATTTCATCCTGCATGGCTTTTAACCACTCAGTCTTGTGCTGGTCAGTGATAGCTTCGCCATAGCTCTCTGGTTCTCCCCCGTCAGTGAGCATTACATACTCGTTAGGAGAATATCTACGAGTTTGTTGTCGCTCCCTAGTGGATCTCCTTAGCTGTGCTTCTGGTTGGACTTGTTCAGGAGCTTGCTCTGTTTCTGGACTGTGAGCTGGTGGAACATCATCAGTATCTGGTGTAGCTCCCCCTTCATCAGAATTTGTTGGTGGAGAGACTGGTTCCAGATTCACTGGAAGTTCATCTGATTGTGGCTTCTCTGGTTTCTCAAAATCTTCGAGCGTCTGTTCTTCAAGAAACACCACGTCTCTGCTTCTGACAATCCTTTTGTTAATAGGATCCCAGAATCTGTAGCCGAACTCTTCATGGGAATATCCCAAAAAGATACATTGCTTAGTTTTTCCATCCAGCTTGGACCTCTCGTCTTTTGGGATGTGAACAAATGCCCTGCAGCCAAATACTTTCAAGTGTTTGTAAGAAACATCTTTCCCCGTCCAGACTTTTTCTGGTACGTCATAGTTCAGTGGAACTGATGGAGAAAGGTTGATTAAATCGACTGCTGTCCTCATTGCCTCCCCCCAAAAGGAGTTTGGTAATTTTGCATTTGAGAGCATACATCTGATTCTTTCGCAAATGGTCCTGTTCATCCTTTCTGCTACACCGTTGTGTTGAGGTGTCTTTGGTACTGATTTTTCCAACCTGATGCCGAAACTTCTGCAGTACTTCTCGAATGGTCCGCAATACTCACCACCATTGTCTGCACGTACACACTTCAAACGTCTGCCAGTTTCTCTTTCAACTTTTACATGAAACTCCTTAAAGATTTCCTGCACTTGATCTTTAGTTTTCAAAGCAAATGCCCACACTTTTCTAGAGTGGTCATCAATAAAGGTCACAAAATAAGAAGCACGTCCTAGTGACTTATGACTCATTGTGCAGACATCTGTGTGTATTAAATCTAGAATATTTGCTTTTCTAGATGGTGGGGAACTACGAAATGCAACTCTGTGTTGTTTTCCCATAATACAATCAACACAAGTACGCAATGGTGTACCTTTCATTCCTGGCAAGAGCTCCTTCTTGGAAAGAATTTTGAGACCCTTTTCACTCATGTGGCCGAGCCGTTTATGCCATAACTCGGTGGGAACTTCTTTCCGGGTGGTATTTACTTCTCCTCTACACAACTTGGCTTCTGTGTGATAAAGTGTTGTATCTTTCTTGCCTTTGGCTACTACCAAGTTGCCTTTGGTAAGCTTCCATTTTCCTTCACCAAAATAATTACTGTAGCCATCGTCATCAAGCATTCCGGTGGAGATCAGATTGAGGCGGATATCAGGAACATGCCTCACGTCTTTCAAAAGTAACCTGCATCCAAGGTTAGTTTCTAAATAAATCTTACCGATGCCGATAATTTTGGATGCATTATCATTTCCCATCCTCACTTGTCCAAAATCACCTTGAGTGTAGGTTGAGAAGAAATCCCGCCGTGAGGTGACATGGTAGGAAGCACCTGAGTCAACTACCCATGTGGAATCTTGACATGCAAGATTGACATAATCATCATCTCGAACAATGACAACTTCTTCGGTGACAGTTGCAGTGTCATTTGTTCGGTTTTCTGATTCTTGATTTCTGGATTTTTCTGCCTTTAACTTTCGACATTCTCGAATGAAATGTCCTGGCTTGCCGCAATGATGACACTTCTTGTCATGCCTCGATCTGGACTTCGACCGTCCTCTTTGTTGATTTTGGTTACGGGGATTTTTGCTTCTTCCTCTCCATTCTTGCTTGCCTTGTCTTTCTGTAACAAGCGCTTCATTTTCAGGAACATATCCTTCGTCTTTTCGTCGAGACTCTTCGTTCAGCATCCTGTCTTTTACCATGTCCATGGTAAGCTTTCCGTCAGGAGCAGAGTTACTAACTGACACAACTAGAGTGTCCCAGCTTTTTGGTAGAGAACTCAGCATCAACAGTGCTTGTAACTCGTCGTCTACGGTCATCTTCATAGAGTTGAGCTGATCTACGATGCCTTGGAACTCGCTCATGTGTTCCGATACGCTGCTCCCGTCTTTGTACTTCAAATTGACTAATCGTCGCATCAGATTAGCTTTATTCTGTGCGGTTGTCCTTGCATACATTTTCTCCAATTTTTGCCAAAGAACATGAGCATCGTGTTCATTAGCAAAATTTTGAAAAATGCTTTTGTCGATCCATTGCCTGATTTGAGCAGCACACTTTCGGTTTAGCACGATCCAGTCAGCATCGGATGTGGCCTCCGAGGTGCTAGTTGTTTTGTCGCCCGTTGTAGTCACTGCTTTCTCCTTTGGCATTACAATTGGCTTCCAGAGATCTTTAATGTACAAAAGATCCTCCATCTTCGGCTTCCAAATTGCATAATTAAATGCAGTCAACTTGATCATATTGCCGGTGTTGGTGTTCTCCTCCATTTGAATTGCTAGCCAACAGGTTTTGCCAAGCTTGAATAGTACCCGTGAACAGTACCGTGAATAGTGCTCCGGCGATGAATAGTGTTCCGGAGATGAACAGTGTTCCTGTGATGAACAGTACCCGGCGATGAATAGTACTCCGGCGTGAATAGTGAAATAGTCACCGGATATACGTCTATACCAGTGTGGTATAATATGTATATGATCTCTTTCTCTTGCCTCCTGAGCCTGCCTTGGCTCTGATACCACTTTGTTGGGAAAGATTGAGAAATCCCAGGATAATTTCCCCAACTAAATGAGACAAAATGACACCAAAGATTTTTAGCGTGGAAAACCCTCCAAAAAGAGGTAAAAACCACGGGACCCGTAGGCCACTTAAAACTTCCACTATAACAATAATGGGATTACACACTTCACCCTTAGGTGGATCTCTCTTTTAAACTTTCTAACAACACAACTTCAATTTGTGGATAAAACTTCACAAATTGGCTCTCAATTTTTGTCTCTCAGAAAAACTCTCTATATTTCTGAGGTTATTTCTTCTTTGGTTTTTGGATGATGATACTGAGCGAGAGATCATCAATTTATAGAGAAATGAACTACGCATTTTTCCATGCGTGGGTCCCACGGGAGAGAGTTTTTCTTTGGTCAGCTTGCTTTCCGTTGTTGCTCAGCGAAAATAGCCTCCCCTATTGCTAGCCTATGCTTTGACAAAGAGAGGTGGGCGGGCCGCAGGATTTGACAATGCCCAGCCTCTTTACTTGATTGCTGGCCGCCCATGTGAGGTGAACCAACACCTATTTCAGTCATTATTACAATCAAACTTAATCCATCTAGTTGTTTTTTAGAATGGGACTAAATCCCATCTCATCCCTTTCCTAAATAAACCCAGAACTGAATGGATGTAAGGCACTGCTAACACTTTAAAAGTCCAAAATTCAAAAAGTTACTAAGGCTACGTTTGGGAACTAAGATTTGGATTTGGAATGTTGATTCAAAATCAAAGGATTTTAAATCTAGGATTTGAAATCAATGATTTGATAGAATCTTTTGTTTGGGTATCTTTACAAAATGCAAGGATTTGAAATCAAAGATTTCAAATATAGTGTTTGGATGCACTTTATTATACATGAACTTGGATTTCAGAATTTGTGTTTTAAGAAAATTTATGCTTTCTCTCAACTCCTCAATCTTTTATGCCGACATTAAGGTTTATGTTGAGGTAAAAGTTAGGATAAATTTCACAAAGCCCCTGAGAAGTTTGACAAAATATCTTCAAATTTTCTAGTAGCTTATATATTAATAAATTTTCAACAACGATATCCAATATATGAATCATTATTATCTTCAAACCATCACCATTATTATCTTCAAACCATCACCATTTAATTTCATAACAAAAGGAAAACAATGCTACCATCAGCTTGATCCCAGAATATCAATTCCAATATATGTACGTCACTGGAAAACAAAAACTTCCAATACAAATATGGATCCATATTTAAAAAACTCTCTTTTCTTTTCAATAACAAATAACATGACACTACTACTCCTCACTGACACCTGAAGAAAAATCTGGATATTACACAATGGCATTGGCTGCACTAGCAATTCCTCACTGACACCTGAAGAAAAATCTGGATATTACACAATGGCATTGGCTGCACTAGCAATCGTAGGCCACAAATCAGCACACTCCAGAAAAATCTGGATATTACACAATGGCATTGGCTGCACTAGCAATCGTAGGCCACAAATCAGCACACTCATTTCCAATTGGTCCAGTAATTGCAGATCCTGAAGAAACAGAAAACATTGATTGATATATATTAGACAAAGAAGCAGAAACAAATTTATGCATTACAGTTTTCACTACAAGCAACAATGCATGTATAATATAGAGTCAAATGCTGAGATGGTTAAAAAAAGGATAATCCATGGGAAAAGGATGTAGACAAAGAACCAGCTACTTCTATAAGTGTAGCCAGCTTGATATTTCTTGCAGACTAAACATATGCAAGATATTAGCAACATGGAGATAACTAAAGACAAATGGTGCTTTGATGACAGAGAAGATATCAATTCATTATTTTGTAAAAAATTCAATCAAAGAAGGGCATATCTGCGGCAATTAGGGGGGGGGGACGGAAACATTTAACATAACGTACATGGAACTTACTTTTGCTCATCACCAGTCAAAGTAATATCTTGAGTGCAGTCCTGAGCCTCTCCAAATTATGGATCAAACATACTAGATTCAATGATATTAAGATCCCTCAACAAAGCTTCATAATGCTTCTTAACTTCCTCCTCACTCCTTTTCCCTCCAATTATCGAAATAATCTCCTTCCATCGATCGGGGTTATCTTCATCAATCATAACTCCTTGGCAACCCATTTGACATTCAAAACAGAAAACAAAACAAATGACTCCTAATAAAAATTGTAAACACAAAGTCCTCGGCAACTCCTAATAACTTGCAAGATTTCTTCAGTTATTTTGTGCTTATATGCAGAGTAAGGATTCTTTGATGTTACACAAAGAAATCAAGTTTGTTGTCGCTGCCATGGCCATTGGACTTGTACTGTACCTCTGCTTGAGTGACTCAGGAGATGAGGGTATGAAATTTTTAATTTTGTGTTCATTTTAGAATTGGGTTTTTGAAGAAATAACTTGGTGTGTCTGAAAGATTTTTTCCTTTACCTTATCTACCTTTGCTTTAAAAAGGAATGAAGCAACAAAATCTTGACCACATTAAATATGCACATATTACCTCTTAGAATATTTTTAGCTAATAGCAGAGTCTATGCAAAATACATCTATAAAGGAGAGTAGCTATGAAAATACTAAACTACTAAATAGCAATAAGGTCGTGTTTCTCTTACTTACAATTGCAAGATGCTTTGCAAAACTATTAACACTTCACATCTACAAATCACTTGGTCTAGTAAGTTCCTTATTTTGTCTCTAGTTGCTGCCTGCGGACAAATGCAGCCACAAAATAGGTGGTGAGAGAAATGTACAATAGCCAACTCAAAGGAAAATTAGGAATGCATCAGCAGAGATATTAAATATAGGAAAACATTGAGATATTCAAATATGAGAATAAAAATATAAAAAATATCAATCAATTGACAATCATGCTCTATTTACAGGACTCCGAGTTGTTCCCGATCACGGGACTGTAAAACATGCATGCCTTCAAATATAAACCACTAGTGAAGTTCACCCCACACAGACACAGGTCATTGATCCATTAAAATAGAGCATGAAGGAAATATACATTAATAACATTAACAAACAATTTTTTTCTCAGTGAGATTCCATCAAGAGATGTTGACAACCATGTAATCATCATTCAAAGGAAATGTGTCCACTGACACCAATCAACAAGCATAGAGTAGCAAATGAACAAATATGACAATCCATACCTACAAGAAGTAAAGTATTCAAAGCACAAAGTTGCATATGAAAATTCAACAAAAAGATGAACAACAAGAGAGGTGTTACCTACTGGGTGTTTCAAATTCTCGCGTTCAAAACCAAATAAGAAATTATTGATCCTACACATTTATCTCATGAATATATATTAGATAAGCATGTGTTACTGGACATATTTAGCTAGTGCAGCGGCTATTTTCCTACTCTCAACTTAGACAACTATGAGGTCTACCTACTATCAAATTGTTGATTTGTCTTCATAATCTGAAAAGAGAAGCTCTGTGTAAAGTGTAAACTAGACTAATGTTGCAGCTATTTCTGAGCATAACTGTATACCATATGCTTATAAATTATATACCAGTGAATAAATAATTCTTTCTAATTTCTAAAACCTAAAACAGATTGTGTTGATACGAATTATAAAGCAAAAGCTATACTTGTTTTACTTCAGCCATAATGGAGGATCATTACTCTGCATATAAGAAGATAAAAAATAGCAAAAAAAACAATAGGGAATCCTTACTCTGCATATAAGCACAAAATAACCTGTGGATTTTGCTCTGCATATAAGAGGATCATTATCTCTTAATGGAGGATCATTACTCTTAAGAAGATAAAAACTTAAAATCACCAAATAATATGTAAAATTCAACAGATTCATCAATTCAGAACCCAAACCTTGTCAGCAACGAAATCAGCTACCGTCTTCATGTTCTGCTTCGTCGACACTCCATCGGCGTTGATCTTTCTCCAGCGATCCTTCAATTTTGGGGGAGATGAAGAGGATTGAGAGCCACAGATCTAGGGTTTAGATGGAAGGGGCAGAGAGAGGAGAAAGGGGGAGACCGAAACCCTAGATCAGATCTAGGGTTTCGACGAGAGAGGAGAAGGGGAGAGAGGAGAGTTACCAGCGTTGATCGCGAAACGAGAGAGAGGAGGAGTCGGGATCGCGAAACGAGAGAGGAGGAGTCAGTATCTGGATTTGTCAAATTCGAAGGGGCAGGGTGGGATTTCAAATACTTGTATTTGGGCTTTCAAAATCTCCTCTTTAAAATAATTGGATTTGAAATCTCAGCCCAATTTGAAGTCCAAACTAGAGATTTGGATTTGAAATACCCTGAGTTTTAAATCCAGGGTCCAAATCCAAGTTCCCAAACGCAGCCTAAGTTGAAAATGTGCTAATGCAGGAGGAGATGAGAACTCATGACATGGAGCTTGTTACGATGAAGCGGAGAGGAAACCACTTTTTATCTCTTGAGGTTCCTGGACTAGCCGAGAAGAGACCTTCACTTGTCTATGGAGATTACATTTTTGCAAAGCTTGTAGTTCCATATTCTAATGACAATAAGACATATCAGGTTTTTTTTAATTTAAAAAACTTCCCAAACTCCATACCGCAATAATCCTCGAATCTTTTCTTCTGTCACTAATGGGATTACTGTTCAGGGTTACATTCACAAAGTCGACGCAGATCAGATATTTCTGAAATTCGACGATGAAGTACACTATCGCCATCAAAACAAAAACCTTTACAATGTCAGCTTCACATACAACAGAACAACCATGAGGAGGTTGTATCATGCAATTAATGCAGCAGCAAACTTAGGCCCAAATATCCTTTTTCCATCCAAACCATCTCTAAGAAGTGCAATTAAACTCTCTCCACTCGTCCCTATAAATCCCTATATCAATAAGGAGCAGGCACGATCTGTTGAATTGATTCTCAGCTGCGAAGGAGGTTCTCCATATGTAATTCATGGGCTTCCAGGAACTGGAAAGACAATAACACTAGTCGAGGCAATTCTACAAGTTTATTCTAGAAGGCCAAAAGCGCAAATTCTAGTGTGTGCTTCCTCGAATAGTGCAGCAGACAACGTATTGGAGAAACTGATAGATGTCAAAGGGATTGAGATGAAGAAAAGTGATATATTTCGGTTAAATGCCTCGAGTCGACCTTATGAGGACATTAAGCCTGAATTCGTCCAGTTCTGCTTCTTTGAGGATATGGTCTTCAAATGCCCTCCTTTAAAAGCACTGCGGCATTACAGAATCATAATATCAACATACATGAGTGCATTCCTACTTTTTCCTGAAGGAATGTGAAGAGGTCATTTCTCTCATATTTTCTTGGATGAGGCAGGCCAAGCTTCTTAGCCTGAGACAATGGTTCCATTATCATTCCTACGTGGAAGAGAATATGTCGTTGTGTTAGCTGGAGACCCGAAGCAGCTGGGTCCTGTAATTTATTCGGAATTTGCAGGAAGTTATGGGTTGAAAAAATCGTACCTTGAGAGGATCTTTGAGTATGATATTTATGATAGTGGCAATGAGAACTTCATTACTAAGTTAGTGAGAAATTATCGGTGTCATATATCCAGCAATTTTGAAGCTTCCTTCAGAGCTTTTCTATGAGGGAGAATTGATTGCACTTAAAGAGGAAAATGAATCATTCATGTTTGAGTGGGCAGAGCTTCCTAACAAAAACTTCCGTTTGCTTTTTGTAGGGATCCAAGGATGTGATGAGAGGGAGGGTAATAATCCTTCATGGTTCAATAGGATTGAGGCGAGCAAAGTCACTGAGATTATCAGGAAACTTGTGAGGAATTTTGAGCTTACAGAAGCTGATTTTGGAGTAATTACACCATATCATCAGCAAGTGGTTAAGCTAAAGATGGCTCTGGAGTCACTGGAAATGCCAGATGTGAAGGTTGGAAGTGTGGAGCAATTTCAGGGTCAAGAGAAGGAGATAATTATCATATCGACTGTCAGGTCAACTGTTAAGTATAATGAGTTCGATCGAACATACAACTTGGGTTTTCTTGGAAATTGGCAGAGATTCAACGTTGCCATTACCCGTGCCAGATCCTTGCTTATCATAGTAGGAAATCCTCTTATCCTTGCTAAGGCAACTTTGATATTTAAACAACTAAACAAAGGCTTCAGTTATTTTTCGGGAAAATTTGCAAAATAGACCATTTTTATGAAATATATAGCGAAATAGACCACTTTGAAAATTAATTAGCAAAATAGACCTCTTTTGAAAAAAAGAGGTCGATTTTGAAAAACAAGGCTCAGAAAACATACAGGACTACTAGTCCCGTATGTTTAGAGCCAACTAATCACGGATTAATGACTCAGAAAACATACGGGACTAGTAGTCCCGTATGTTTTCTGAGTAGAAAATTTTACTAATCCGTGATTAAAACATACGGGACTACTAGTCCCGTATGTTTTCTGAGCTGTTTTGCAAAATAGACCTCTTTTTGGCCTGTTGGCCAAAAAGAGGTCTATTTTGCTAATTATTTAGCAAAACGGTCTATTTTGCTAAATAATTAGCAAAAACGGTCTATTTTGCAATTTTTCCCGTTATTTTTCCATTTTGTTTCTGCTTTCCTTTCGTGCATTTATATATGTTGTTCATTAACTGATACCGCTTAATTTTTGCTAATTATATATAATTACTGATATTTTTCGGATTAAATACACAAGATGAGCAAGGATATAAATAATACTTAGTTTTTTCTGCCTATGCAGGACAGTAATTAAGGGGAAAAAATTGATAAGATGTCTGCCTGTAATGCGTTTATATTCTTTGTTATCTTAAGGCTTGCCATGTTGCATTATCTGATATAACACATGGATACAGTACACACAAGTACATGGATGCCATAAATTTCAATAAATCAGAAAACTGTGCATGATTACGGCAATATATATGTAAACCCAACCAAGTAGTTACCAAAAAAAAATAAAATCAAATTAAAACATCATGACTGGACTGTGAAATAAACTTTTAACTTATAAATTAAATGTGATATATGTCAAGCAATCATTATTCTTGATATTCTTTATTAAGAAAGTGTTCAATTATTTAAATGCATTTACAAATTAAGCATTGTATTACTAACTTCTCAGGATCTGTTACCTTTGTGAAACCTAGAATACATTATAAATTTTTTTAGCCTGCAGAGGAAACCCAACAAACTTTAGTGGTATCACTTCGGAAAAAGGGAAAGATTTGCTTATCTGCATGACTACATCCAATTTAGAGTACCTCCTTTATGAAGCATCCATGCAATTTGCTTATCTGCATGACTACATCCAATTTAGAGTAGATTTTTGATCTCTAGAAAGATTTTTAGAATGTATCAAACATGAATACATGAATATTAGACAACTGTATCATATGTGATTTTTTAGAATGTTTCACGTGTTGGCTTATATGGTGTTCACGTTGACGTACCCGTGTCCATGCAACACATACTGAAGGTAAAACACAATATTGCTTCCTTGTGCCCGATCCTTACTTATTATAGTTGGAAATTTTCACTTCTCCTTGCAAAGAATACTTCTATAAAACAACTAAATAAAGGTTTCATTTGTTTGTTTTCGCTTTGTTCCTGTTTACTCTTTCATTTTATTTGCATATGTTGTTCCTTACCTGATAATGATTGATTTAAGATGATTAAGTATTTCTGATCTATTTTCTAAAAAGTATTTCTGTTATATATTTTTCTGATTAAATACAAAATAAGATAGAAAATAAATAAGAATACTTAACATTTTCAGCTTACACATGATATTAATTAAGTGAAAAAAATTGTAAAACATCAATGCCTGTAATGCGTCTGTATCCTTATCTTAATCTTACATATGTTTCACGATATGACATGGAGACATATACAAAAATATGGATGCAATAAATCCTAAAAAGTCAGGACAGAAATACAAAGGATGCATGATATGTTCATAATATGTAAATTAACAGACCTAAGTAATAACAAAATTAACCAAATAAGGCAAGATAGCCAGATATTATGAGATAAAATTCTAACTCATCAAGGTGGATAGTTAACTGAGCAATCACTGTTCTCTATATTCATTTTTAAGAAAGCGTCTAAAGTATATAAACTTGCCTGCAAATTATAAATTTAGTATGCATCAAAGGGAATATCCTGACGAACATACCACTTCAGAAAACAAAAATTGATGGTGATTTAAAAATTTGCCATCTTTAAATGCATTGAAGAAGCTCATATCTTCATTTTCTTTGCAGGATCCAGTGTGGGATAAGCTCTTGAGGTATTGTGCTAATAATGGCTCTTATCATGGTTGTCCTCTCCCTTTGCCAGAAAATCACCACCACATTGAGTTTGTCGACAATGAAGCTCTCGAATGCAAAGCTGAATTCAGTGATGCTGATTTTGACAAAAACACCTCGTTAGGATTTAGATTCTCTCCAATTAGATGGTAATTGGAGACAGTTCAAGCAATAAAACTAGAATATTGTAGCTCTATACAGAATATCTAATCTTCAATTTTTGATTGGCGTTGCTGTTAACAATAAAAATGTGTAAACTAAGTGCTTATCATGTTTTCCCCCACCTTTAGATTGGAATTGATGTTTGGACTTGAATGCTGCATTTTATGTTCTTTTAATCGCGTTTTCAGCATCGGTATTCCTATTTTCTCTTCAATATAATTTATTTTACACAAGTGGAAAGAAACCTCTATTGTCATACCAGCTTTAAGACCCAAAATTTTAATCATTTTTGATACTTGGTTCCGCACAAAAATAGAATGCAGCTAGAATAGTCACAGTGGCACAGGAAAAAAATAATGTAAAATCAAGTTTGCAACACAAGTCCACATATATGCCATTATGCAAATCAGTTTTAAGCAATGGACGAAGAAGCGAAAACCTCTAACGATGAAAAGAATCGAAATCTCCGAAGCTCCAAGCTTTTAAAAACCCTACTCACTTCCCCTCATCATCATCATAATCATCATCTCTCTTCTCGAAAACCCTAGAAAAATTCCAATGGATCCTCTAACGGCGCTTCGCGACTTCACGATGCGCAACGAGCTCGACAAGATCGTCCCCTGAAGATCCTGCCCTAGTTGAACTCTCCGCCGCTGACGTCAGCAATCAGATCGATCCTCTCGCCTCGGCGCCCGATCGCGTTGTTGATTACGTCTCCATGATCAGGTCTCTTGAGCGGCCGCTGAAAGATCGGGAAACTCTTATGGAGTGTAAAAATCGCGACTTTTACACGGTTCTTGTTCAGTCGACGAAGAGGGAGGAGGAGCGCCAGAGGATCGAGTCGCAGCAGCGAAAGGATGGGCTTGTGGCCAAGAGTAGGTTGATCGGGAGTGATGCGTCGGGGATTGATGTTATTGAGAAGCCCAAGATTCATTTGAAAGGGAGTAAGGTTGGGGAAGGGGTGCCGATTATTCTGGTGCCGAGCGCTTCGCAGACGCTGATCACGATTTATAATGTGAAGGAGTTTTTGGAGGATGGGGTCTTTGTGCCGAGCGAGACGAAGATGAAGGGGATGAAGGTGGGGACGACGAAGCCGGATTGTGTGACTGTGCAGAAGAAGCTGAGTAGGGATCGGGCGGTGGCGGCTTATGAGGTTAGGGACAAGACTGTAGGGATTAAGCCGGAGGACTGGGATCGGGTTGTGGCTGTTTTTGTGTTGGGGAAGGAGTGGCAGTTTAAAGATTGGCCCTTTAAGGATCATGTTGAGATCTTTAACAAGAGTGAGTAGTCATCTAGCCATTTTTACTTGCATTTTTTATTAAGGTAGATAACCCTCATCGATAATGTCGAGATCTTTATATTGCGTAGCACTAATCATTCTTCAAATAATTTGTTGTAATTTATTCCATTTGCAATTTATCCTTCTCAAAATGGTAATTCATGGGTAGTAAGTGCAAACAAAGCTTTGACGGATGATAAGTGCTACTGATATTATGAACAAGGGTGATTATGTGCAATTTACCCCTGTGCATTAAAAACATCATGGTTACGCCTAGTGTATCATGCACTCAAGCAATACGATTTTATACCTACTAAGGCCAGTGCTTATTGGCGCCAAAGGAGCTTGCCTTGGCTTAAAAGCTCGCCTAAGGCGTGCATGGCAAGACACGAAAGGTGTTCGCCTCTGTTTTGAATTTTGAGTGAGCTATTTAGCCCCTTATTTTATGTCATAAGTTAATCTAAGCACGCTCTACTGCATACACTTTATTCTAAAAAGTAAAATATTAGGATGAATTTATCAAGCTAATTTCACGACTTAATTGAAGGATTATTACTCCTTAATTCTCCTTCCATTTATTTTTCTTTGTTGGTCTTTTGTGGCAACCTTCCATACTAGGCCCCTGCCTTGCACCGAATACCGATGGCAATAGCTGGCAAAGCAAAGTTTGTTTTTTCTTTTTGAATTTTTTTTCCTTTTCTTGGTTGATCTTTTGTTGTATTGTACCTAATTATCTATATCATATTCGGTATGGCTACATGCCACAAGTTAAAAATTGAGAGTTCAAATTTTGTCGCTTGATTATCGATGTTTGTAGTTACTAGTCAGTATTACTATTTATATTTGGTAGTTGCTAATATATTTAGATGGTTTGTCTTGTTAGTTACCATAGTTGATGATTTCAAAAATTCAGTTGTGATTATTTCCTTTTAGTTGTCTCCTTACATTTATTTTTCTTTGTTGGTCTTTAGCGACAACCTTCCTAAGCCCCTGCTTTGCACCGAGTACTGATGGCAATAGCTGGAAAGCAAAGTTTGTTTTTTTGTTTTTGAATTTTCTTTTCGTTTTCTTGGTATATCCTTTTGTTGTATAGTACCTAATTATCTATATCATGTTGAGTACATGCCACAAGTTGAACCTTAGAGAGTATCTATATCATGTTGAGGACATGCCACAAGTTGAACCTTAGAGAGTTCAAATTTGGTCGCTTGAGTATCTATGTTTGTAGTTACTAGTCAGTATTTAGTATTTAGTATTTGGTGCTGGCTAATTTATTTAGATGGTTTGTCTTCTTAGTTACCATAGTTGATGGCTACAAAACTTCAGTTGTGATTAATTTGTCTTGTTGTGATTTATTGATATTTTGTTTAATTGCATGTTGTAACTTTTATGCTTTTTTTTTAAATATTAATCATTGGTTCACTCAGGCGATCGCCTTTTCTTGGCGTAGTATGCCTCAATTGTCTTGTTCTCACATTTTGCTTTTAAAGCAATGCTTTACCCGTTATGTTCCAAGGTTTACCAAAAAAGTGTCTAAATTGGTAATAAATGTTTTGCAGTTATTGGGTTTTTTGTCCGATTTGAAGATGACAGCATTGAGTCTGCGAAGGTAGTGAAGCAGTGGAATGTAAAGATTATATCGGTAAGTGAAGGCTTTATAATTTCGTGAATGCAGCTTGTATTTGTTTTATTTTGATATATTTATATATGGTATCTGTAATGTAGATTAGCAAGAATAAGAGGCACCAAGATAGAGCTGCTGCACTTGAGGTGTGGAACCGGCTGGAAGAATTCATGCGGTCACGCTCACATACATAGGCTGCTCTTGTTTTGTAACTGTTCCTGTATGTCTTTTTTAGGTACATTTAAAGCTAACTTTAGTGTCTATGTTTGTCGTAATGTTGATTATAACCTATTTCAGCTTGTTAATGTCAAAAATATAATGTTCAGTTTGTATGTTCGTTAGTTTCTTAGAGTTGATAAAGTTTTCCTTCTTCTGAATGTTCTCATTCTTATTTATATGTCATTCTTAATTTCGTATATGTTTGCGTGAATGTGTAGCAAAAGTTAAAAAGAGAGGATATGAAATTAGTGTACTCAATAGAACTTAGATGTGACTTCAGTGGACGTGCAACATGAATTAGGAAGTGACACATAAAAGTTATTGATAGGCTGGTGGTATATAGACTAACAAAGTTTGGGGTATACCATATACCTAAAGAAACATGGGTTACGGTGGTAGAAAACAAATATGCTAGCTAGTAGGTAAACAGATGAGATAGTGAGAAAAAGATTCATGCATCTAATATATTTAGAATAAAGGCTTTATTATTGTTGCAATTGATCAAACAACACCAACAATAAGGTCAATTTTTTTCCCTTTTCATTCATTCTTTCTTCTTTTGTATTTGGGTTGACAGGTGACAAAAAATCTATAAGACCCATTTGCATATTTGGCTTTCTTAGAACAAACATGCTTGAAGAATGTGAACGGATAAGTTGATAGAGATAAACCCATGGTTCTATTCTGCATTTTGGAATACTAAGAGCATCTCCAACAGTTTCCCCAAAATTTTCTCCAAAATGGAGAAACAAAAGTCATATTCTTCAAATTATTTTTGCTCCAACTCCAACAGCTTCCCTATTTTGAAAAATAGCATTTATTACAATAGTAAAGCTCTCCCCAAAAATTTGGAGAATGCTGCAGATTTGGGGAAGGCTCTCTATTTTTTCTCCTCCTTCCCTATTTTGGGGAATAAGATGGGGAATCTGTTGGACCAAAAAAAACCTTCATATTCCCTAAAATTGAATATTTCAAGAATATGGGGAAGCTGTTGGAGATGCTCTAATACCTCTATTTGATTTTCTTATATAAGAACTCAAACAACAGGAAGGAACAATACGCTTTACAAGTTCTTTTAGTACCAGGAACATGCAATCGCAAGTGTGGTTTTGTGTATCTTGATAGCGCCGTGGGTTATATTATATGTTGACGCCAGGAAATCTGACTGGTTGGAAGAGCGCAGTGTTCCTATGGAGTGGACTATGGTAAATTGATGCATTGGTTCAGAGAAATGAATGGACTTTGATTTTATAATGATGCTAGGAAGAAAACAAGGTTCATCGGCTTGGATGGTTAAATCTATTATATTAGTCAGTTTTCAGATATTTGTGATTGACTATGTTTGCTCTATTTAAAATTTTAAATATCTATTGTATGTCCAACATTAGTTCAAGTTAAATCTTAAACTTTTAGAGAGCTCTGCAATATTTTGTTTGTCTGTTAATGTGGCATCAATACTATGACTATCTTTTGTCCAAGTTACTCTAAGATTTAACTTCTTGGAATACTCTGTTGGATGTATTTCTATGCTCAGGTTGAGCAAGGCTTTGTTGTAGGTCCAAACTAAGGCATGTTTACAGCACGTTCAATATTTAGGAGCTCTTGTTTAGTTTGTTTCTTGCTTCAAAAATTTGGGCATCATGACTCTCTCTTGT